TAGGTCATGGCTCTCATTCACTGTCTTGGCATTAAAGATGTTAGTTGCAAAGACACATACCTATTTAAAATGCTACTTACTATTTATTTGTAGATAGGGGAAGGGATGAGGAAAAAAGGGAGAGAAACATCAACTGGTTGCCTCTTGCACACACCCCAACTGGGGACCAGACCTGCAAACCAGGCATGTGCCCTGACAGGGAATCAAACCTGTGGCTGGCCCTTTGCTTTGTGGGATGATACCCATCCAAATAAGCTACCACCACTCAGGTAACAAAGATAGATTTAGAATACCACCAATTATCCCAACATTTACAGACACAGGTGTTGTCAAAAAGGTCTTTCTCTGATTTTAGCAAAGAGAAACCACCCAAATTTTATTCTTTAACTATGTAGCAAGTGCTAGTTTTCTCGAGGGCTCTCCCCGACTTTTGTAGAAAAATATATTTCCAACCTTCAAATTAAAATTTGACCCATACTTCTGGCCAAGATGGAGGCGTAAGTAGAAATACTGTACCTCCTCGCACAACCAAATTTAAGGACAAGAAAGATTTAGAAACAAAAACACAACCAAAACAGACAGAAAACTGAACTGTACCAAAGCCCAACAACAATGAACCATTCATCCAGACTGGTAGGAGGGGCAGAGTCAGTGGCCGGCAGTGGAGAGGGGTCATGGCAGGGAAAAGCAGTGGGTGCCAGACTGACCCAGATGCACAGGTGGCGGTTGGCAGATCCCAGGCATGGGGTGGCAACGTGCAGACCCAATGAGGGTGCAAGGTGGCTGGATGACCACGGTCACACATTCACACACAGATAAACCAGGCAAAAAAAAAAAGAACAGTGAAAACAGACTGTTCAACCCGGGGCCCCAGCGACGGGAATTAAAGCTTAAAAGCACTGATTGGAAAAACTTTTGGGGGATGACGTGCTGGGAGAGGCTCTCAGCCTCACAGGAGAGACCCAAAGAGTCCTAAAATGTACACAACCCCACCCACCCAGAAATCAACCCCAGAGGGGCCCAATTTGCTTGTGGGAAGCGGCAGAGGAGACCAAAATCCGAGAGCCATTGCTCCCTCTCTGACCCTAACCCTACCCCCACATACAGCATCACAGCCCAGCAATGTGAGTTGTCCCACCCTGGTGAACACCTAAGGCTCTGCCCCTCATACATAACTGGTGCCACCTAACAAAAACATTTTGTCTCAAGCAGAATAGCTCAAAGCCCCAGAGCCAATACTTCTAAGTGACAAAGAGACAGCCAACCTATCAGATGAACAGTTCAAAACACTGGTGATCAGGATATTCACAGAACTGGTTGAATTTAGTCATAAATTAGATGAAAAAATGAAGGCTAAACTAATTGAAATGAAGGGAAATGCACAGGAAACCAATAGTGATGGAAAGGAAACTGGGACTCAAATCAAGGGAGTAGACCAGAAGGAAGAAAAAAATGACCAAACAGAAAACAATGAAGGAACAAGAATTCAAAAAAATGAGGACAGGCTTAGGAACCTCCAGGACATCTTTAAACGCTCCAACATCCGGATTATAGGGGTACCAGAAGGGGAAGAAGAAGAGCAACAAGTGCAAAACTTATTTGAACAAATAATAAAGGAGAACTTCCCCAATCTGGCAAAGGAAATAGACTTCCAGGAAGTCCAGGAAGCTCAGAGAGTCCCAAAAAAGTTGGACCCAAAGAAGAACACACCAAGGCACATCATAATTGCATTACCCAAGATTAAAACGAAGAAGAGAATCCTAGAAGCAGCAAGAGATAAGCAGACAGTCACCTACAAAGGAGTTCCCTTCAGACTGTCAGCTGATTTCTCGAGACCTTACAGGCAAGAAGGGGCTGGAAAGAGGTATTCCAAGTCATGAAAGGCAAGGACCTACATCCAAGATTGCTCTATCCAGCAAAGCTTTCATTTAGAATGGAAGGATAGATACTGTGCTTCTCAGATAAGCTCAAGTTCAAGGAGTTCATCATTACCAAGCCATTATTCTATGAAATGTTAAAGAGACTTATCTAAGAAAAAGGAGTTTAAAAATATGAACAGTAAAGGACAACAAACTCACAGTTATTTAACAACCACACCTAAAACAAAAGCAAACTAAGAGGACCGCTAGATCAGGAGCAGAACCATAGACATGAAGATCACATGGAGGGATAGCAATAGGGGAGTGGGAGGAGGAGAAGGGGGGAGAAGGTACAGAGGGGGAGTAGCATAGATGGTAGGTAGAAAATAGGGTGGAGAGCAAGAATAGTATGGGAAATGTAGAAGCTAAAGAACTTGGGACACATGGACATGAACTAAAGGGGGAAATGGGGGGAGGGGGTGTGTAGGGGGGAGGGGAATGAAGGAGGAAAATGGGACAACTGTAATGGCATAATCAATACAATATAGTAAAAAATTTTATCCATACACACACACACAAATACCAGGTTGGTATATTAACACACATGCTTTTCATTTCCAGGCTACACAAAGACATGCTTTTAGAGCTCTATTAATGTTATTAAAGCAAAAGACAATCTAAAACCTAACAACTAGAGAAACTGTGATCTTCCTATGTAGTGGTTGGTATAGAACACACTGATTTTGACTTTTTTTAAAAATTCAAATGCCATTTTGATCACTTATGGTCCAAGAACATTCAAATAATAAACCCATAACAAACAGATGTTAAAGACTGGTCTTCACAGATTACAGCCAATAATGCCACACTTGCCTATAACTTTGTCAACAACATAAAACCATATCCACACCTCAGTGGCCACCTAACTATTCAGGAGAGCTTCTTTAACTGTGAGCTATTGAGGCTATCAGCTTGAGCACTACTATTTTTTTAAGTTTGAATACTATATGGATCTCAGCAGAGGTGGAAGGAGCCAGCTCAACCTTAGCATAGTACCAAAATATAGCCAATCAAGGTTTGAATAAGTCACAGCAGTGTTTGCCAGCATGGGGAGTAGGAGGGGGTCCTCCTCAAGGTTAGAGACAAATTGAGCCATTGCTCTAGGATGGAATGTCTGTGGTCTCCAAATATTTTCTTCTTTCAAGCTTCAGAGACACTGACTTCTCTAATCACCTTACCTAAAGGAGGTGTTTCCATTATGTAAGAGGCCATATAACTTCAAAGAGGCCATTGACTTCTTTAATCACCTTACCTAAGAAGATGGCCATCAGATTCTAACATATTATTCAGTATTACCTTAACAGCAATTATCAATAACTGAAATGATTATAACTTTTGTGTGTGTTTACTTATTTTCTCTCTACTACAACAGAAGCTACAGGCCAAGACAGCTGATTTGTACTTTTAAGATGCCCTTCCTTCTCTTCCATAGTCTGTATTCTATGATATCCATCGTTGTATCCAGTGGAAAATAAATTCAAAGCAGTAGAGTAATTGACAGGTTCTTCTACAGGAGTAGACGCTAGAGGAGTGAGGGAATACATCTGATACTAACAAATCAGAATGAGTCAAGGAAATGTTACTGGACTCAAGGACAGTATGATTACATAATAACTATAACAACTGATTGTTTACTGATATAATACCTATAAAGCTAGAGGAAAAAACCAGCAACAGGTGGATTTCTACCAAAAGTAAACAAAATTTCCCTAACATTTGGATTAAGTTTAAAAGTTGGCGTTGTGCTAAAATCTAGAAAAAAAGTCAATATCCCATTAATCCAGTTGAGATCTAATTTTAATACACTGTAGACTCTACTACTTTCTCCTCTTCCATTTGACTTTACATTTTCCTGACCTTTTAGTCCAATATACCATCTATTCCCTTTCCTCTTTACCTAATATTTTTATCCTTGTCTATAGCTATTTTAGAAATCCTTGAAGATGTACTCACAAAAATAGTGAAAAAGAATGGCTGTGGAAGTCTGAGGCCAAGAATAAGAAATAATAACAAAAATTATAGCTTCTATTTATTGACTGCTTACCATATGCCAGGCACTCACTTGTTCTTCACAAAACCTTATGAGGTATTATCCATTTTACAGATATGTAAACTGAGACAAAGGGAAGTACCTTGATCAATGCCACATAATTTGTAAGGCTAGAAATCAAACCAGGCTACAAGATTCGAGAGCCCTTGTTCTTCACTATATTGCCTTTTACCACAACACTGTAAGTCTTTACAAACTTAATGAAAATTCTAAGGGTACTAAGATTTCAGCAATGAGATGGTAAATATACTAACTACATTAATTTTAACACATTTTTTAGATTAATACTTAAATTTGGGTGACTTTCTTTGATAGCAAGGAGCAAAACAAGGACTTGAACAAAAATATTAACTACTTACATAAGAAGACCAACAGACTCTTCCCAAGTATGTTTCCTAAAGTACACAACATTGCTTAAGACAGCAAAAGATTTATGGATCATCACTTACTAGAATTAAGTTAATATCCCAAGGGCCTAAATCTTTGTATCCCTGACACTTTCTAGTATATTTTGTTTCTTCTATGACATTGTCATTCACAATATTTTTACAAACACACTGATAGAAAACTTCTGACTTGCTTCTATTCCCTGACAGCTGTGAATGTTTTGTAACAGACCCCTAAAAGAGCAACAGAGAGCTCAACCAAACTATATGCATTACCCATTTTAAAAGTGGCATTAAAGTGGTATTAGGTAATTTCTAAAGCCTATTTAAAATCCAGTCTACTTCTCTAGAGGTTACATAGCTTTCATCATACTTAGTAAGAGTGAAAAGCCTCAACATATCAACGAAACTTCTACATACCCCAGAAAATGTGAAAACAATTGTTCAATGGAAGAGCACAACATAATTTTTGTAGTTTTGACTATTTCTAAACTACGCATTGATCATAAAAATTCTGTACCATAAAAATCTAAATAAATATGCTGATAACATACAAAACTCCAAAGTATTATGTATAAATAATGAGTTTTTATCCTTATTAAAATACCCAACTGCCCATAAAAAAAGTGAGTAAGGTTTGCTAACCTTTCAAAGTCACCTTGTCTTGTAAATTTGGACAACCTATACACAGCCCAGTTGTTAAGTTGTTTAGAGGTCATTCCTCTTCCATTATCTATCACTGCAACAGCAGGTTTTCCTTGTGTTTCATCAAAATGCTATAAAATAAAATAAGTTGAAAAAGACAAAAAAGTCACATTAAAAGTCATATTAAAAATATGAAAAGTTAAAGATAGAAAAAGTGATTCAGTGGGCTCGCTCACACATTTCTGGTGGAAGCATAAATTAACACAACTTTCTAAAAGGCACTTCAGCTATATGAATTAAAAGTCATAGAATTCTTCAAGTCCTTTAATCTAGAAATTTCATTTCTTACAATTTAGCTTGAAGAATTAGTCAGAGATGTCTATAAAAACCTGTAAGGATGCTCATCATGCCAGCACTGCTTGCAATGCATTGCTTAAAATATAGGGAAAAACCCAAATGTTCAATAATAGTAGGTAAATTTATATTATGCTTTACATTATAATTCATGTAATAGTCCATAAAACAACCTGAAGGAATGTGATATTACATGGCAGAATATGCATGATACGGCAATCTACTTACTGTTAAGAAAAAGATCACAAAAAGCCCAAAATATACACTATGATCACATATATGTATACATACATACAAAGAAAAAAGGGTATATGAAAAATGTTAACAATGGATGAAGAGATATCAAATAGTTATTTCTATTTTATTTTATCTTTATTTTCTAATTTTTCTCCAATGAAGTTGTCCAACTTTTATAAAAGGAAAAGTTAAATTAATTAACAGTATTATTGTCTTACCAATTTAATCTGTATTCTTCTAATTCCAGTGTTACAAGAAGTAGCAGACAATGAATTGTCAATTAATTCTGCAAGAGCAAATGCTGGAAAAGAATGAGAAAATATTATTGCTTAAATTTTCCTTCTCAAATACCTCATATCAAAGTTCAAAGTAGAAAAAACTTTGAAGTACCTTAAGCCATCATTTTTATTTTCCAAAGAGCTAGAATTAAAGTATTATCCTGATTCTAATGATGCAAAACATAATTAAAGGCATCATCACCAATTACCACCAGCATAAAAAAGTAGTCATCCAACAGTACCCGTAGAGCACTATCTGGCATGAGTCAGCCAGCCATGATTCCTGGCCTCAAGGAGTTTATAATATAAAGATATACATATATGTATAAGAACACAAAACTTTAACCATAAAAATCAAATAGTACTCTGTGGTATATAATTACATCATGCAGAAGTCAAAAGTAAGCACATATGGAGATAAGGAGGAAAATACAAAGCAACTATAAAAGTGTCTATTAAGAGGTAATTTAGATATAGAAATCATATGATTAATGGCAACCTGCCAGATGGTAAAACATGTCTGATTTACTGACACAGAACTGCTATTGATATCCTACTATGCAACCAACTTGATGTTCAATTTAGCACTGGCCCTGCATATAGTTAAGAATAACCAGAAGTAACAGCAAAGGCAAAGGAAAGAAGTAAGGAAATACCCAGGAATATAACAAAAAGTCACAAAAATCAGAGCAAGGGCCTAAACAATGACATTCCCTACTTATTCATATGATGATAGTAGGAATGAAAACTGGTAAAATCAATCTGGAAGGTAATTAATGTATATGGAAAGTCATAAATGAGTATATCTATTGACTATGATTGTACATTTAAGAAATTGATCCCCAGAGAAAGAATTAAAGATTCAATCAGCAGGCAAATATTTAAGTATCCACCATTTGTCAAGCATTGTTCTATGAATGAAACACAACAGACAAAAATCCTGTTCTCATGGAGTTAACACTCTAGTGGAAGAAGGTGGGAAATCAAATATAATCTTAATTAATAAGTAAATTTTGCAGCATCTTAGAAGGTGGTATATGCTATAGAGAAAAGAAAGAGCAGAAAATACTAAAGGCACAGAGGAAATGCAGTTGCAATTTTAAATAGGGTGATCAAGGAAAGTTTTGTTAGGAAGGTAACAGATAAATCAGACTTGAATGAGGAGACGGGCTATCTAGTGTAAGAGCATTCCATGAAGAGGGCACTAAGCTGAGAATAAAACTGACACCAGAGTAAACAATCAAGAAGAGTTGTGAAAACAAAGTCAGAGAGGTATAAAGCAGAACTGCTAAGGTCGTGCATGTAATTGTAAAGAGTTTGGTCTTTATTCTTAATGAAATGGAAAACATAAGTGTTTTTAGTAGAAAAATAATAAAATTTGACTTCTCAACCTATATGTGTTCAGGCATGAAAAGAGATGAATTATGAGGCCAGCGCATAATCTAGGTGATGATGGTGCCTTAGTTGTAATGTTAACTATAGAAGTGGTAAGAAATGGTCATTTCTGATAAAGACAGAAGATAATGCCAGCAGGATTTTCTGACAGAATTAATGAAATGTACAAGACAAAGAGGAATCAATTTGATTTTTTGACTTTAGCAACTGAAAGGTTAGGGCATTTGAATGGGAAAACTACATGCAATATAGGAATCTGTGAACAGATCTGGGTTCTCATCTTAGATGTTCAGTGGAGATGCCACACAGACAGTTCCTGGATACACAAGATTTGAAATTTAGGAATAACTTTGTTATTATTTTCAGTATTTAACTAAAAATGAACATTTCTGGACTTCCAGCCAAGATGGAGGTGTAGGTAGACACACTGTACCTCCTCACACAACCAAAATAAAGACAACAAAAATTTAGGAATAAAATAACAACCAGAACTGACAGAAAATTAAAGTGTATGGAAGTCAGACAGCCAAAGAGCTGAAATAGACACATTCATCCAGACCGGTAGGGAGGGCGGAGTCCAGCAGCAGAGTAGAGACTCGGCACAGGAAGCGGTGACACCAGGTGTGTAAGGCACCCTGGGTGCACAAGATGGCAGCAGGCCAACCCTGGGCATGCAGGTAGCAGCTGGCAGACCCCAGGCACGGGATAGCAACGGGCAAACCCAGCAAAGCAGTAATTGTGAAGCAAGGTACTGCGTGCAAGGTGGCTGGCTGACCAGGCAGCATGGCACTCCCATGTTCGTGCAGATAACTGCAGAGTGAGACAGACTGCACAACCTAGGGTCCCAGTGCTGGGAAATAAAGCCTCAAAATACTGATTGAAAATACCTGTGGGTTTGAGGTGCAGGGAGAGACTCCCAGCCTCACAGGAGAATTCACTGGAGAGACCCACAGGGTCCTAGAATGCACACAAACCCACCCACACAGGAATCAGCACCAGAAAGGCCCAATTTGCTTGGGCAAAGCAGCGAAAGTGAAATCCTACAGAGAGCAGAGTAGAACAAGCGCCACTGTTCCTATGACTCCGCCCCCATGTACAGCGTCACAACCCAGCAAGGCGGTGGCTCCACCCTGGTGAACACCTAAGGCTCCGCCCCTCATACATAACAGACTTGACAAGACAAAAAAAAAAAAAAGGCCAAAAAGAACAGATCAAAGCTCCAGAGCAAATACAACTAAGCGACTAAGAGATAGCCAACCTACCACATGCACAGTTCAAAGCACTAGTGATCGGGCTGCTCACAGAATTGGTTGAATTTGGTCACAAATTAGATGAAAAAATGAAGGCTATGCTAAGTGAAATTAAATGCACAAGGAATCAATAGTGATGGGAAGAAAACTGGGACTCGAATCAACAGAGTGGAACAGAAGGAAGAAAAAAATAACCAAACAAAACAATGAAGGAACAAGAATTCAAAAAAAAATGAGCAGAGGCTTAGGAACCTCCAGGACATCTTTAAACGTTCCAACATCCGAATTATAGGGGTACTAGAAGAAGAGGAACAGCCACAAGTGGAAAACTTATTTGAACAAATAATAAAGGAGAACTTCCCCAATCTAGCAAAGGAAATACACTTCCAGGAAGTCCAGGAAGCTCAGAAAGTACCAAAGAAGTTGGACCCAAAGAGGAACACATCAAGGCACATCATAATTGCATTACCCAAGATTAAAATGAAGAGAATCCTAGAAGCAGCAAGAGATAAGCAGACAGTCACCTACAAAGGAGTTCCCTTCAGACTGTCAGCTGATTTCTCGAGACCTTACAGGCAAGAAGGGGCTGGAAAGAGGTATTCCAAGTCATGAAAGGCAAGGACCTACATCCAAGATTGCTCTAACCAGCAAAGCTTTCATTTAGAATGGAAGGGCAGATAAAGTGCTTCTCAGATAAGGTCAAGTTAAAGGAGTTCATCATCACCAAGCCATTATTCTATGAAATGTTAAAGGGACTTACCTAAGAAAAAGAAGGTAAAAAACATGTACAGTAAAATGACAGCAAACTCACAATCATTAACAACCACGCCTAAAACAAAAACTAAAGAAACTAGATCAGGAACAGAACCACAGAAATGGAGATCACATGGAGGGATAGCAACAGGGGAGTGGGAGGAGAAGAGAGGGGGAAAAGGTACAGAGAATAAGTGGCATAGATGGTAGGTAGAAAATAGACAGCAGAAGGGCAAGAATAGTATGGGAAATGTTGAAGCTAAAGCACTTGTGACACATGGACATGAACTAAAGGGGAGAATGGGGGGAGGGGTTGTACAGAGTGGAGGGGAATGAAGGAGGAAAATGAGACAACTGTAATAGTATAATCAATAAACTATATTTAAAAAAAGAAGCATAAACAGGTAGTTACAGAATAGCCATGGGGATATAAAGTACAGTATAGGCAATCAAGTAGCCAAGAACTTATACCATAACCCATGGACAATGGTGGGGGGATTGCCTGAGGGAGAGAGAGTGCTGGGTGGAAGGGAAAAAATGGGGGAAAATCAGGATAACTGTAATAGCATAATCAATAAAATATAATTTTAAAACATTAAAAAATAATTTTAAAAAGGCCAAGTAAAAACTGTATCAAAGAAGAAGTGATAACGTATATTAAATAACGCCTTGAATAAAATGAGAACTAAAAATTGATCACTGTGTTTAGTTGCCGGTAACCATAAAAGAATAAGTATAGGAATGTGAATAAGAGATACCACTAACAGTGAAGACAGTCGACTATTTTGAGAAGTTTTCCTATAAACCAGAGCAGAAATCTGGGCAGTAGCTGGTGGAAGAAGTAAGACTATGATGTTTTTAAGACTGAAGAAAAAAGAGCTTTTCTATATGAAAAGAACAATGTCAGAAATAATAAATATACTAGTTACGAGTTCAACCTCTGAAGTTACTCTGCTAGGGTTCAAATCCTAACCCAACACTAACTCTGGCCTTGGCAAGTAACCTAAAATCTTTCGGCCTGTTTTTCTGCAAAATAGGGTTATTACCTAACATTAGCTTCCACACAGAATCAGGGATTAAATAAGAAGATGCGCATAAAACACAGCAGTGCCTGGCACTGCAGCTGATAGCAGTAATAGTATTAGTAGACTGCAGCTGACAGCAGTAATAGTATTAGTAGTACTTAAGATAAGAATATGTATGGAAATTTTCACAAGAATATTATATTAAGTCATTTGCAAAAAAAAATTTAATAACCTAAGTGTCTGATAATAGAACATTTCAGTATACTCTTATCTAATAGTGTTTATCCACTAAACCAAGTATATATTGACATACATTAAAGCTGTTCATTTTTTTAAACAAAAGTTAAAATAATAAGCATCATCTAAAACCACTAAAATAGAAAAAACATCAAACAATATGAAAAGATTTGAAGTGATAAACACCAAAGTGCTAGTGGTGGTTGTATCTGGATGGCTGAGATATAGATATTCTTTATGTTCTTTCTGCTTATCTATGTTTTCTAATTTCCTACAAACTGTAATGCACATACAATAAAAACATATTTTAATAAGAAAGTTAATAATAAACATCTAAGTAGTATTAAACACTTCAGCAGGGCTTAAACAGAAAAGATTCTCTAAATCAACTGATTTATAAGAATCATTAGCAAACAATTCAAAGGTAAAATAAAAACTGGCAAGAGGCAAAGGTGGAAGAAAAAAAAATGGAAACGAGAACACAAACCACTTATGCAGTTCAACTAACTACACAAGCTTACAAGGTAATGATTTTCTCAGGTGGGGGAGGTCTGTAGGAATTGAGGAAGAATTAATCAGAGAAAAGAGTATACATAAAATAGAAAAATGTTTGATACAATATGTCTTACGAGTTGAAAAGGAATGAATTCTAATACTTGGTTAGTTTTAAAGGAAAGGTGTGTTGCCCTGACTGGTGTCTCAGTTGGTTGGGTGTCATGCCACAAACCGAAAGGTTGCCAGTTTGATTCCCGGTTAGGGCACATGCCTGAATTGTGAATTCAGTCCCTGGTCGGGCAGAGTATAAGAGTCCCTGATAGATATTTCTCTCTCATACTGATATTTCTCTCCCTTCTTCCCCCTCTCTGTGAAAATAAATAAATAAAAACAAAAAAATTTTTTTGAGAGGTATCTTGACTATGAATTATGATGACGACATAGAAAATTATACTATAATGAACAGATTGAAGGAAACTCACAATGACTTGTCAGTGTTCTAAAAAAGCAAAATTATTTATTTATTTTTAAGCCTCACCTGAGGATGTTTTTATTGACTTTAGAAAAAGAGAAAGAAACACCAATGTGAGATAGAAGTATCGATTGGATGCCTTCTGTACGCTCCCTGCCCCATAGCCTAGTTTATATAACCTGGCCAGTAATCGAACCCACAACCTTTCGGTGTACAGGATGATGCTCCAACTAACTGAAGCACCAGGCTAAGGCAAATGAGAAAACTTTTTAAAGTAAAGGAATGGGCCAGATGATCAGAGGACAAGAGAGAGCAATAGTTTGACAAAATTAGTATAAATGGAATACTTACGCAAAGGATTTTGTCCTTCACTTGCATAATATTCATACATGCCACTTTTAACCAGTGTGTCATAGTGAGGCAGGAATTCAATTCGTTCTTTTGTAGCTGTTAGTAGTAACTGACTGACTGACTGTAGAAGGTATAGAGTAACTCCATCTTTAACAGTTTCATCTGTAATCAAAAGGTAGTATCTTAAACACAAAGCTAAAATCAGAAACACATGAATTTATTAACTTTAAATATGGAAATTATATCTTATTAACTTTAAATATGGAAATTATATCTATGAAATATCTTTAAAGATGGTACAAGCAAACCCCCAAATAATGACTCAATCTATAAATTCAGTTGTGTTTTGTTAAGAGTATCAGTTGAATAGGCCCAAATACTCCCATCCATCTGAAACCTTCAATTCTTAGTAAGTTAAATATCACAGAAAATGAGATATGAAACTACATTAGAGTGGTATCAACATGAAAGGAGAAGAATGGATAAATTCAAAAGGAAATCAGGTATGAAACACTGGCAGGTCTTAGAATCCAACTAGGTAAAATAAGATAATGGAAGAATCCAAGTTTGTTAAAAGAATTGGCTTCTTGAGGGCCTACATGGAAGGCCTGTGGCTAGGTGTTGCATAAGGTCTCATCTTCTATAGCCATAATTGATTTCAATTATTGTTCTACAATCTTGCTTGAAAAATAGAACCTCTGCACAAACTGTGAACATAGACAGTTTCTTCCCTCACCCCAACAGAGTAACCAAAATCATCAATAGTTTTTAGATGTCCCTCTATATAATCAAATAGTTATTGCTTTACAATGTACTAGAACATATTAAATATAAAAGCATACACTTAACATTGCTTACCAAAATTATCAAAGGTAATTTCTTTCCTACTTGTTGTTGTAATTACAAATTTTTCCTCAGGTGAAATGCCAAGTGTCTATCCAAAATAATAGAAATAAAATCAATTATTACACAAAGAAAATAAATGTACCAATCAAATTTACAAAAATATAAAAATACTTATATATCATAATCTTGTAACGATGGCTACATTTATTTGTCTAAGTCTTAGTATTTTTAAATTTTGCCTTTTCATAATTAAGTACAAATCTATCTATAAATTACTTGCTTAACCAGGCTGTTTTTTACTGCTATTATATGCCACCTAGGACCACAAGTAGGTAGGTAGGATATTTTCGGAAAAGTTTTAACATCAGCAGGCTCCTCCCAGAAAAATTCGAGTCAATATATAGGTAAATTTATTAACCTTAAACACGTTCACAAACATCAAATATTGAAATACATTAAAAACAACAGTACTAAAAGAAAATAGAGTTTAACATTTTAAAACACTGAGATAAAAATAGCCATGCTATCCAGGTAGAAAAGACTATATCTATTATAACCCTTTCCAAAAGAATAACTTAAAAAACTTAAGACTAATTAGAAGAGACAGAGTTAGCATCCTTAGGAGAAAAAAAAAGTTTTCATAAATAATGATGAAGATCATTACAGAGCAAAAAAACTTAAACAATAAAAAACAGAAAAATACAAAATTAAATAACCAATGAACACATAAAATACTAAAATTTCACAACCAAAAAATGAAAAAAACATGAGTTAATGTTTTTATTAAAATTGTATATATATTTAAAATTAAAAGACACAGGCTTTTTATAAAATTAGATAACAACAATGTACAGAGAAAAAGCTGATTTCTGCTTCAGGTAATGATGGACTGTCAATCCAGACCAACCTTACTACAGAAAATTATTTTAAAAATATGTAGACTAATGATACTCAAGTCTTTAAAAACTCTTAGTCACTATTGAAACTAAGGCATCATCTCCTTATTCTGAATACAGACATGTTAAAGGAAAAGAATAAAGCATTTATCCTGCTTTCTTATACCAACTGTAGCTCAGGTTAAGCAAATAGCTCTAGTTGATGAGGCAAAGTCATTCTTCAGTTTTCAGGCCAGCTCTCAATCCACTGAGCTACACCAGTGAGGGTGTGCAAACTCATTCTTTAAAGAATGTCAGCTAATAAATACAGGAGGAGTAGCAATCATAGGATGTACCATCAGATCAAAACTTTATTATGGAAGGATTAAGCTGAAATCACTTGAACCCACTAATTCAATTTCAGCAGTGCTAAGAGTGAATGAAATATTCATGTATTATATGCTTCCTGATGTGATGTAATATTAAGTACCAGAACCACCTATGAAGATTTGCATCCCCACCCCAAAGAAGTTGAACTGAAATCTTAATTACAGCCTTAAAAAATAACTCCTAATTTATAGGTGTATGAAGGTAGGACAAGCTAAATTATACCATAAAAGAGTACAGACAAACCCAGAAAGTGAAATATTAAAAAAAAAACCTAGACTGCTTCAACAGATCAATGTTAGGGAAAACTAAAGAGACTGGGGGGAAAGAATTTTGCTCATATGTTCTAAATTTTAGAAAATTAAGAAACATAAAAAAACAAGTTCAATATGAGAACCCTGTTGGGATTCTGAATCAAAGAAACCAACTATTAAAAAAAAACAACTATAAAAAGACATTTTTGAGGCTATGAGAGAAATCAAAATATGCAGCTATTAGATAGTATTTAAAATGTTAATTCTGATGGCATGATAATAGAAATGCATGCTGAAATATATAGGAATGAAGTGAACTAAGACCTGGAATGTGATACAAAAGACAAAAATTATGCTAGTGTGGTAAGTACTTGGTAACTGTTGAATCCGAGTGATGAGTATATTTGTATTCATTATACTATTAGCTTTCTATACATTTAAAGCTTTTTATAAGAAAAACTTTTATATAAAATATACTATGATAGACTAGTGGGAGACAATGGAGGACAGTGAAACAGACCCACACATACATACATGGAGAGGTTAGCAAAGAGGAAAGGTGATATTACAAATTGGTGGGGAAAGAATAAACTATTGAATAAATGATATTGAGACAACTAGTTAACTTCATAGCACTAGGTTAGCATATTCAAAAATAAATTCCAAGAGAATTAAGGCAGCTACATATTAATCTAAAACTGTTGAGGGAAAACAGGGGAACAATTTTCAGAAGACAAAAAAAAAAGATTTCTGAAAATATAGAAAAAGTGCAAGCCATAAAAGAAAAAATAAATGAGAAAATATGAAAATATTCTCCTTCTCACTAGTTAACAGAGAAATTAAAACAACTTGATTATCATTCCCATGAGGCTGCAAAAATTTTTAAGTTGGGATAATAAAAAGTATAGGCCTCCAGATAGGGAAATTGGACCATACATACACATTGCTGAAAGAACTGAAAATTAGCATAACCATACTAAGAGCAATTTAGTATCATTTAGTAAAATTAAAGATTCTCATTTTCTATATAATTCCACCCTAAAGAAATGAAGCTACAAACAATAACTAATGGGGTTAAGAGTCTATGAAACAGAAATAAAAATTGTCTTTACAGATCTTTATTAGGTTTTTGTGTAATCTCTATTTTTAGTTCGTTGGTACTTTATTTCTACAATGTCTCAATTGTTAGACTATGTTCTTATGCATCCTGTAGAACAATGTTTTTATAGGTACCAAAAAACTATATGCCAAACTGCATTTTTAAGATATATGTCGTTGTACATCTAAAACATGTTTCTAATTATTACAATCTTTCCATAATTCTATTATTCAATTAAGACAAAAAAGCTATCTTTTTGTATGTTCCCTATAATTCTGTATAAAAATTATTTCTTGAATTTATAATTTTCTTAATATTTTATAGCTGATATTGGACAAACATAAATTAAATATTTTTATATTACACATTTATTCAAGGTATCATACCCTTCCAATGGCTCTGTTCCTGAATCACCCATAGACCAGAATATTCATAAAACCTCTACAAAAATTTGGGTGGTAACTGGTTGAAGCAGCTTGTACCACCCTAAATAACACACACCCTACCTTGCATTAATAGACAAGAAGCAGCCTTTCCTATCTGTAAGGATGCTGTCCATTTTACCATGCAGGATTTATGAGGAATGTAGGGAGAAATTTGTTCAAATCAAAGCTTTGCTACCCTAGCAGCGGGAATTTTTTTATGGATATTATGAATATTATGAATTTTCTATCATTTACCTTTCCTTCTTTGTTTTAACTTGTAAGACACTCAAAGCTAATTTCATGGCTCAGCACTGATGTAAGATACTATTGAATGAACACCCACTTATTAACTCTCCTCAGGTTACTATTCTATTCTTTCCTATATGTGTTGTCTTTTACTATTTTTCTTTTCATCTTTGGAATTTTTAATATAATATACCCTATGTACAAAATTTTTTGAAGGAAGAGATTGATTAATTAATAGCTATAAACTATTACATCAGGCTCCTGTCCCCAAGGAGTAAACAATTTTTTTAAAAAGTATCATGGTATAGTAAGTGCCATAGTAGGGTAACAAGATACAGTGGAACCATACAAAGACAAAAGTAGGCATTTCCTCAAAACTGGGGCTGGAGAGGAGGATCTGCATACATAGGCTTACTGTCTAGACATATTTAAGGAATAGCCAATTGAGTCATTTTTCTAATCTTTGATTCTACAAGGCCACAAGGTCTCAGGTGAGCCCACAGCTGCTTATTACAGGTCTAAGGATTTCTTCCAGATCTACTCTTTCCTCTTCCTCCCTCTTGATTGCTCCCTTTTTCCACAAGGTGAGTTCTCCCCAAATAACAATTTAGGATCCACAATAATTTTTGAACTACGAACAGTTACTGGTTTAACTTTTAATGCAAAACTTTAATTTAGCACACTATTTTGCTTCCTCCCCTAACAAGGAAAATGACATGAAAGACTACACATTCTGAGATGTTTATCATGGCATTACTTAAAACTGAAAGCAATGTAAATGTTGACAAAAAAAAAGATTTGTCGACATTTTACAGACTTGTTTATGTAAACAGCAGTACTAAACAGACCATTTCAAACTCTGATTATGAAAACTTGCATTAAAACAGAAAAATACTGGCAATATTAAATGAAAAGTAAATATGCATTACAGTTATTTTTTAAGATGAGGGTCTAGAGTTTGGGTGGTGAGCACATCACACAATAAACAGACGATGTATTATTACATAATTGTACACTTGAAACTTATACAATGTTATGATTCAATGTCACCTGCAATACATTTAAAACTTTTAAAAAATGGGTGAAAGAAATAACCCCAACTGTGTAATAGTTATCAGTGGTTATAAAATTTTACAATGCATATTTACTTTTTCCCTGTGGTTCCATATTTTCTTTATTATATTTTTACAATAAAAATAATAAACATATGATTTTTTCCTCTTTGTGGGATAGTTTGATACAAAACACTCATCAAACAAGTATTCTTCTATTCGCTGTTAAATCGCATGGGAATCTGCCATATCAAAGCACAAAAAGAACTTCCAAGTACACACATATTTGTTGTCATTCAAATATTCATCAATTTAGGCATTTACTATGCGTCAGGCACAGTTCTAGACACTGGGAATACAGCTGTGAACAAATCAAAGTCCTTGCTTTCACGTCGCTTGTGTGGTTCTTGATTTCAATTTCTTCAGCACTACACAGAGTTGTCTCTAGAACAGTCCTAAATCATCAGCCCACTCAAATTAAAACACTTTCACAGAAACGTCGTTTTCCTTAGTAGATTAAGAGTTCTTTATAGCGTAAGAAAAACCTCATTTGGTTAATGCAGGGCATGTCAACATCAGGCAGCATCACCACCTCTTATACATAAAACGCTCCACAGGTCAAAGTTGGTTTTTTCACATGGTCCTTAATTTTTAAAGCCAACTAATACACTGTTTTCTTTGGTGTTCTACAGTGACCCACGGGCACCCTCCCAGTTAGTTCAGGAACTCCCAAGGGCCAGGGCTCAGAAAACCAGAGAGCAAGCTCCACCTGCGAGACCAACTTGGACAAGTGTTTCCATTACGGAAGCACCCTTCCAGCGCCGGCGAGCGCGGGTCCTTGACAGGGCGACCCGGGAAATTACTGCATCATTTAATGAACCTGAAGTAAATCGTCTCCAGGAATTTCACAACTTTTAAGCATCGCCACCCTCCTCACAGAGCCACCAGGTATAACTAATTCTCCCTTCTTTAAAAAATAAAAGTTCCACACGAAAAAAGACACAAATGGAGTACTAAGGTTCCCACAGGCCAATTAAACTCGAGGTCTCAAACCCCGCGCAGCGCAACCCCCCGTGAAATGCCGGGGCAGAGAGAGGCCCAGACGGGGGGCTGGCTCTGCACCCCGAGTAGGGCCGGCCTTGGGCTTCCTGTCGCCGGGACACGGAGATGGCGGGCACTCGGGGGAGAGAAGCCAAAGCCCCAGGACCAGGGCCGGGTGACAGGTTTATTGCCTACAGTGAAAACTTGAGTTTCTCGTCACCCTCCCAACCCAAACTCTGCCAGCGCATCCCTCTCTCGTCCATTCGAGTACCTGACACACAGAGGCGCGGAACTCCGAGTAGTCCGAGCGCTCCCCGACCTGAACCACCCGGTCGCCGAGCTCCGACTCCTTCTCGCGCCGGTCAAACAAGTACACGTTCCTGCAGCCGTCGCCTCCGCCGCCCTCTCCGGTCCCTACAGAAGGCCCGCCGCCGCCGCCTGCCGCTGCCATATTGGGGGAGAGGAGAAAAAACAGCCGCGCCGGCGCCTAACGCCGCTGCGCTCAGAGGACCCAGGTACAAGCTCCGCGCCAGTCCCCAGGGCGGCGAGAGGCCTCAACCTAGGCGCGCTGCAGCCCCACCCTCCGCGGCGGCGGTGGAACAGCGGCCAACGCGAGAATCACCCGGGAACCGATTCAAACAAGCTTCTGCCCGTACACACGTCACTTCCGCGGCCGCCGCTCGCGGGGTGGAGGGTGAGCTCTTCGTGGGGCCGGGACCCGCGCCCGATGCCACCCACGCGAGCTTCGCAGCGAGACCCGAAACCAAGGCCTACGCCACGGCCTGTGGCGCAGAAGGAAGAGGAGCCGCCTGCGTTCAAGAGGAGGCGGGGCGAATCCGGCAGTCCGCGCGGGCAGGGGCGGGGCTTCCGCGCCTGGGCCCGCCCCTTTCGCCCCGGCGAAGTTGGAGGGAAGCTTGGGCGTTTCGTGGCCACCAGAGCTAATAGGGGCGATCCTTTAGCTGAGGCCGGAGACCGTGTCCCGGGAGCAGCGTGGGTAGGCTTCTGAGTGACTATTTTCTCACTGTGGTGAGGGTCCAGGTATCTTCCCTCCTCTCTGCGTACGGGACCGAGCCTGCCGGGCCTGGAGCTTCCCGCGTTCCTCAGGCTGTGTCCTACTCGATCGGGTCGCGTTAACTCAGCATCAGGCGTGCAGTATCAGGTCCACAGACCTCACTGGGTGAAACCTCCCCCGAGCACATGGGTTCCCACGGAGAGGAAACACTGTCAAGAGACCATGCGCCACTCTTTCCAACCCATTTCCTAATGGTTTTATGTGGGCCCCAGTATGGAACACCCTGAGAACGTCGGAACCAAAGTTCGGTGACTGTGACCAGCGCGGCCTCCTTCAGGTGGCCTCCCAGGGTTCTGGAATACGGACAGCATTCAGGTCGCCAGAGTATCTTCGCATCTGAATCTTTATTCTACGCGTTTCACCTCCACCGCCTCTGTCATGTTGCTGAAAATTATGAATGGGAGCACCTCTGCCCAAGAGCTATTAGGCTGAAATCACACAACATTCACAAAATGCTTAACATTCAGAGAGGAAGGGAAGTAGGGAAAGGGGGAGGGAGGGAAGGAGAGAGAGATGTGAGAAAGAAACATTGGGAAGTTGCCTCCCATACACACCCTGACCAGGGATGGAACCCACAGCCTAGGCATGTGCCCTGGCTGGGGTTTGAACCTGCAACCTTTTGGTGTACTGGACAATGCGCCAACCAACTAAGCAACCCAGCCAGGAAACAATTGACTTAATTTTTATTTTCATTGGTCATCTTATTATATAGGATGTAAATAATTAAGTGTCAAGTTATCTATTGCTGCATTACAACCTACCCCAAAACCTAACAGTCTTTCGCACAGCTTCCCATTTCCGCATCCTGAGATCTGACATAACACAGACTCGGATCAGAGGTGCTGGGAAACAGTGAATAATAGCTCCTCAGGTCCACAATTTAAAATGGCTTCCAATAAAACTACATTGTAAAGAATGGGAAAGAAACAGAATGGAAAAAAGTAAAAAATGTTGAAGCAGTAGAGCCAGAAGATTTTGTAGTGTAAAAATGTACTGGACTAATGTCTAATGAATGGGAAGATAGAATATTTCCTTAAGTGGAAGAGATTGACAGATGGTGACAATACTTGAAAACCTAAAGAATATTTTGATGGTCTACGGTTAATGAAGCATTTTTAAAATTTTTTCACAAGCTGGCAAAGAAACAGGTGCTACAAAAAGAAAACGTTTATATGACAGTGAAACTGATGACAGCAAATCAAAAAAGAAAAGAGATGCTGCTGACAAACCAAGATACTTCACAGTGGTCTTGATCTTGAACGAGTAACTGGTATCACAGATAGTAGTGAAGGATTAATATTTCTCATGAAATGGAAAGCTACACATGAGGTGGACTTGGTCCTGGCAAAGAGGCAAACATAAACTCCTCAAATTGCAATCATTTTTTATGAAGAGAGACAAACTTGGCATTTTTATCCAGAAGATGTACAATAATTTGTACATATATGTGTGTGGTTAGTGTGAACAATAATTACATTCTAATAAAAATCAGGTGTGATATATTCATTTTGAATAGTATTCAGGGGATTGTTGGGTTGTATTTTTTTAATCAAGGACACTGGCTATATTGAACAAATAAAAGCTTTCTATAGTTGCTTCATTTATCAGGAAAAAAATCATATTGTAGCATATTATTTCCTCTGCATTAGGACGAGCTTTTCTAAATGCTAGAAAAATTTCCACAGTTATTACTCAATCAAAACTTACATTTAACACATAATGCCTAAGGACCATTCTAGGTTTATTTGTTTTTGTGTGTAAACATATAAATACAGGGTTGAGCAAAAGTAGCTTCACAGTTGTGCATTTATTCTTTTTGGATTATTCATTAATTATCGTATTATTTTCCATATGAACAACTGTAAACCTATTATTGCCTTACTCTGTACACATGTAAATGGTAGTTGTTGGTTGGTTGGTTTTCTTTTTTTTTACATTCACCAAAGAAACAGAAATGACATTTTACAATCATGAGTAAGCCTAGGATGTTTTGGGTGTGCAATTCTTCTGAGAAACACAACAAATTAATCACCTCAAGTTTTGCAAATTTTCTGAAGCCATAAACATTCAAATGAAATTGATAACTCTGTAATTAATTGGACAATTTAGAGCAGCTTTATCAGAATTCCTATTTATATCTATAGTCATATAAATGTAATGGTTTAGTTGCAAAACGCACTGAGGGCAAAAAAATTTTTATCACCATCAACCACCATCCTACTCAGATTGTTCATATTGGTGTGTAAAAAGGAAACCAATTTCTACATATTTATTTTTATTTTGTATCCTACTACTTCACTGAATTCCTCTACCAGTTCTAGTCGTTTCTTGCTGAAATCTTCAGGGTTCTCTCTATACAGTATCATGTAATCTGCAAATAATGGCAGTTTTACTTCTTACTTTCTTTTTTCTTTTTTTTTCCCTATTTGACTATGACTTTTTTGTTTATTTTTATTTTAATTGTTCAAGTACAGTTTTCTGCCTTTTACTCCCATCCCAACCCACCCTCCTAGCCCTCCCCCTCCCCCCCCCCCCCCCCGCCTTGTTTTTGTCCATGTGTCCTTTATACTTGTTCCTGTTAACCCTTCCCCTTTTCCCCTGAAATTCCCTCCCCTCACCTGTCTGGTCACTGTCAGACTGTTCTCTATTTCAGTGTCTTTGGTTATATTTTGCTTGTTTGTTTGTTTTGTTGATTAGGTTCCTGTTAAAGGTGCGATCATATGGTGTTTATCTTTCACCTCCTGGCTTATTTCACTTAGCATAATCCTTTCCAGCCCATCCATGCTGTTGCAAAGGGTAGGAGCTCCTTCTTTCTTTCTGCTGCATGGAATTCCATTGTGTAAATGTACCATAGTTTGCAAGGATGGTACAATATTTGTAAATCAATAAATGTAATACATCACATAAAAGCAAAGACAAAAATCACATGATCATATCAATAGATGCGGAAAAAGCTTTTGGTAAGATACAACACCAATTCATGATAAAAACACTCAGCAAAGTGGGAACATAGGGAGCATCCCTCAACATAATAAAGGCCATATATGAGAGACCTACAGGCAACATCATACTCAATGGCCAAAAACTAAAATATTTTCCACTAAGATCAGGAACAAGACAAGGTTGTCCACTTTCACCACTTCTATTCAATATAGTATTGGAAGTTTTAGCCACAGCAATCAATCAAGAAAAGGAAATAGAGTATCGCGGTTCTATTCCCAGTCAAGGCACATGCCTGGGTTGCAGGCCAGTTCCCGGACGGGGACACACAAGAGGCAACCATACATTGATATTTCTCTCCCTCTCTCTTTCCCTTCCCCTCTAAAGATAAATAAATAAAATCTTTTTTTAAAAAAAAGAAAAGGAAATAAAAGACATCCAAATAAGAAAGGAAACAAAACTGTCATTGTTTGCAGAGGACATGATAGTGAACATAGAAAATCCTATAAATTCCACCCAAAAACTGTTCAACCTAATAAATGAATTTGACAAAACAGTGGGATACAAAGTCAATATCCAGAAATCAAAGCATTTTTGTATACCAACAATAAAACATCAGAAGCAGAAATCAAGAAAAAAAATCCCATTTGATATAGCAACAGGAAAAGTAAAATACCTAGGAATAAACTTGACCAAGAAGGTAAAAGACCTGTACTCGGACTATTTCTTCCTTTCTAATTTGGATGCCTTTTATTTCTTCTTGTCTGATTGCTGATTGCTTTTTGTGACTGATTGTACTCCAGTACAATGCTGAGTAAGAGTAACAAAAGCAGGCATCCATGTCTTGTTCCTGATCTTAAAGGAAACACTTCCAGTTTTTCCCCATTGAGTAATTATGGTAGCTCTGGGTTTGTCATATATGGCTTTTGTGTTGAAATATGTTCCCTCTATTCCCACTTTTCTGAGAGTTTTTATCATAAATGGGTGCTGAATTTTGTCAAATGCTTTTCTGCATCTATTGATATGATCATATGATTTTTATTCATTTTGTTCACATGTGTATCATGTTAATTTATTTACAGATATTATACCAACCTTGCACCTCAGGAATAAATCTCACCTGATCATAGTGAAAGACTTTTTTTAATATATTGCTGAATTTGGTGTGCTAACTTTTTTTTAATCCTCATCTAAGGACATGTTTTCATGGATTGCCTCCTATATATGTCCCAACCAGGGATTAACCTGCAACCTAGGTATATGCCCTGACAGGGGATCAACGATTAACCTTTCTGGGCACAGAACAATGCTCCACCCAACTGAACCAGGTGGCCAGGGCTTGGTATGCTAACATTTTGTTGAGGATTTTTTGTATCTATGTTTATCAGAAATATTGGCATATAATTTTATTTCTTTATAGTGTCTTTATCTGGTTGTGAAATTAGTATAATGCTGGCTTTGTGAAATGAGTTCAGGAATCTTCTCTTACATTTTTGGGGAGAATTTGAGAAGAAAGGTGATAGTTCTTTGAATGTTTGGGAAAATTCACCTGTGAAGCCATCTGGTGCAGGACTTTTTTTTGTTGAGAGTTTTTTTTTAAATTACTGTTTTGATTTCATTTGTTGTAATTGGTTTGTTCAGATTTTCTGTTTCTTCTAGATTCAGTTTTTAAAAGTTGTAGGTTTCTAAGAAATTATTGATGATTTCCACGTTTTCCAATTTGTTGGCATAGAGTTATTTGTAGTATTTTCTTTAAATCCT